TTCAGCAGATGTCCTACATGGGGCACAGTGGTAGTGCCTGACTGATATCTCGACCAGAGCAATAAGTGGTAGCAATTAGATGAAGGAGGACATTTTGGAGAGTGAAGCTGACGGCCAAAGATTTTGGAATAAAAGGTCAAAGATCCTTTCACTGAGTCCAATTCTCCTCAAGATTTTCTTGAGCCAATTCTGATCTTCTCAGCCTGGATGGATTAAAGCAAGAGAGACTTGCTGCACAAAAGATAATTGCTGGAATTCACGGTAATACTTGCAAAATACTTTAGCCCATGATTTGCTCCTAAATGAACCATCCTCATTTCAGCACGGTTACACTGGGCATCATCTTTTCCCTGTAAAAAGTAACAGAGCTGCCAATATCCAAATGTAATCTTTTATTTATTTTTTTAGGGTCCAGTTCTGCTTTATTTGTACAACTGAGTCCCCTACTGGCTTCCCTTAAAAGGCAGGATCAAATCCACAGTAGCTTCCACAAATTCGAGAAGAATAGCCCCTTTCAGGTAAAAAAAATAAAAATAAAAATAAATAAAGGCGACATTTATCACCGATGACTGTAAATACGCTGTTCACAGTCTAAGCTCATTGGAGCTCGGCATGCATAAGCACACGCTTAACTTTCAGCATGCACTTAAGTCTCATTAGAGTGCTTAAAGGCTTTCCTGACCACGGGCGCTTTCCTGAGCTGGGGTGTGGAGCGGGGACGCCTGTCTCATATACACGTGGACAACGGAGCCGTTATCTTGGTTGGAACCTTTAAATGCCATGGTAATATAAGAAAGCATAAATAATTAAACACAGAGCCTCTCTCAAGACCAGCGGAGCACCACCGCCTACAAAGATACGTTTGTAAGGAATGTATCCTGCTCCACAATCCCATGTGATGGCTGGCATTAGAAAGAAAATACTTAACCTATTGCACTGGGAACTTGTGAGCATGGTGGAGTGATGGGGGGGCACGCGATGATTTGTTGTAACGGTCGCTGTCTATTTCCTCCCCAGCGTTAATCACCCATCTCTGAAAAATGCATGCATGGTCCGAACGACTGGCTGAATTAGCACAGGCTTAAACTCGTATAACTTCGCTGATATCGTTGGTAATATTCCAGTTTATACTAGCTGAGAAACTGGCCTTATTCAGCGGCTCAGATGTCTGCCTGGCTGGCTGTGAGATGGTGGATGTTCGCTCACTCTTGTGGAGCCCTAGTTTTGGAAAACGGACTGCCTCAGAGATCTGTGTGTGCTTGACAGGTACTTGTCCGTCCCTAAGCCTGCTCTGCACTCCAGAAAAAAACTGCTCAGCCTGTGTGTTGCGTTCAAGGGCCCTAGCAACAGTAAAATATACAGGAGAAAACGCTTAGATCTGAGAAGTGCCTCTGTGTAGATTTATTGTGCCCTGTGCCCTGCTGCCTCCCTCCATTCGGGCGAGTTTAGGGAAAGGCTCCTTGACATTTTCTGCAAAACGTGCAGAGTGGCCTCCTGGCACCAGTTTTATTGCTACGTTTGTCTTTCTGCGTCTCCGGCATCATTCTGTTTTTTACACTATGAACTGTCGCAACTGTTCTTAAATTTACAGGAAGCGGTGTGATCTGTCCCCCCTCGCTTTGCCCCATCTTTAGACTAACTCTGCGTCAATGTAACAAGTACAGTTTCGGCTGCCAGGTAATTCCCAGCGTCGACTCCTTTCTTCCCACGCTGGTAAGCTAGTCTTTAAACTCGAAGAATTTGTAGGCTTAGCTTTGCCTCCAGCATCCCTTTTAGTTTCATGTGGTGAGCCCGGATTTTTTAGTGTCCCCACTTGAAAGCTGTGGATTGTGATGCCCTGAGACAGGCGGCTCCTCGTGCTGAACACTCACAGTGCCCACTGACGGGAGAGCCATCAGCCACGACATCCCCACTGAGATCCTCAAAGTGAGAGATCTAGAGAGACCCACAAATGAAAGAAGAATATACCCAGGAGGAGGCAGCTCTGCAAGCAGAACAGTCACACGTCATTAAATGCATCTGGCCAATGCACTAAGGCATGCGAGTCTCCAAAAAGCTTGCAATCTCCTGGGCAGCCGTGGGCACGGACGCAGGTGCGGACGGACGCGTGCGCGTACGTACCCTGCATGCACAGCCAACGTGACACGGGCAGATCCCCGCCGGGCGGCGATGCCGTCAGTGACTTCTACAGAATCCACATTGTATGCGCTGTGCATTTCCAGTTAATACACACAGTGTGTACAATGCAGGTGCTATAAAGTCAGGAGTCTCCCCAGCAGCCGGGAAAGGTGCAAACCTCTCAAACTAGGCAATGTCTTCTGACCACCCCAACCTCCTGCTCTCCTCTTTGGCCTTTCTTGCGCAGAGACAAGTGACAGCCAAGACCACGCATGTAGCAAGCACACCGCGCACATGTCTGCAGCACTTGGAAAAGTGTCTTTCGTGCATGCGTCAAAGCTATGAGTAAGAGAGGCGGTTGCAAAGCTACTGCTGGGAGAAGAAAGCCTACGAATAAAGCCCTTACACAGGTCTGGAAAAATCTAGTCTCAGTTCCCCGCTACTTAAGAACCTCTCTGAGCAACAACGAAAGTGTTTTTCAGCCTCTCTATGTCACAATTTCCTCTTATCAAATGGGGCTAATAACGTTTTCTTACGCCTCTCGCCTTGTTAGGGACAAATACTTGGAGGCAAGGCTGGTTTCTGCTTGGGGCTTACCATCATGGGCTTTTGAACCTGAGAGGCGCTTTATTGCACATCGATCTCAGGTCTCCCTGCAACACCCATTTCCACATAGTTGAAAGACAGTGCTGTCCGGTCGGAGAGGGGGGCGGGGGACTGGAATCAGCTTGGGTTTTCTAGCTATTGGTCATGCTTCTTAGACTTCCTTCATAAAACAGCTGCAAGGAATTTGAAGTTTGCTGGGGAATTTATTGTTGCCCGTAATACGATTATTTATTTATTTTTGTTAGGTACTGGCAAGAAAAAAGTTCCTTTCTGTCATCAGTGACTCCCTCATGACTACGAGGGTGCTGTGGACTTTCACGGAGCTGGGATCGGTTGTGCCAATGGGGATGTGGACTGAAAAGGCTTGACCAAAATCTTTGGGTTTGACATCAAAGAGTAAACTAGGTGCTCTGTTTTTCTCAGTAGTGTGGAAATAAGTTGTTGTAGGGGTTTTTTTTGCTTCCCCCCTTTCTCCTCTTGGAAATTTCCAGGCAGGACAAATCCTCAGCTGTTTATTGTTACACAAGGAAGAGATCTCAGCTTGTGGAGCAAACATGTCTGCTCTGTACCTATGCGTAGCGTCATGATTATTTATCATCACTGACTCCATGTCATTCACTGCTGTGGTATGGGCAGGATCCAGTGTGCCCACTGCAGGGAACTGGAGTTTTTCCACTGACTCCAGTGGGTCTTGGATTGGCTTGTCCTTTCCTGTTCCCAAAAGCTATCAAAGCAATACGCCTGTGCGGGTGCGGGTGTGTACATTATCATGCTAATCAAAACAAAGCAAAAACAAATGCAACCGGAGGGATCCTGTGTTCTCATTCCAAAGGAATTTAAATTAAGCAGCCTCAGACTTTTGGAAGCACATAGACGATTGGTGTTGTGACAGGTGTGACTTGAGCTTTGCGGTTGCCCTGATAAAATGATTATGCTTTGGCAGTGGTTGGAAGAATTAATGAAAGGGACCCATGCCTGTTAGACTGTTTTCCTCTGGCTGCATTATGCGCAGCATCAAGCTGAATTTTCTTGTTAAACATCAGGCGTTATTTTTCAACTGCTTCTCCCTCTTCCAGAATTTGCTCGAGGGAATTGCTTCTTTAAGTCCATTCTGTACAGTTTAATGCTATTCTCTGGGAAGCAAATTTACCTAGCGTGAAGGCTTTGAAGAGGGTTTTTGGGGTTTTCTTTTTGTTGCCTTTCTTTTTTTTTTTTTAAGAGATGACATTTAAAGTGCTCCCTATCTTGCAGCCGCTGGGGTAAGAAATGCCCTGTCCCCAAAGGATCTCTCTTGATTTATTCATTTAATTTTCTGAAAACCTACTGGCTGGAAGAGATACAGCTTTACCAGTGCTGAGAGATGGGTGCCCACTTCGGGACTCACATCACACCTTTATGGTGTGGCAGCACCGGCAGTTTGTGGCCTGCGCACCAGGAGAACAGGGGAGCAGTAACAGAGGGCATTCGGCTTTTGGGTCCCTTCTCCCTCATAAGCGCAGTAAGGAAGGCGGGAGGCTGGAGATAGTGGTCCCGCTGGCTGGACTGCCCTGGGCTAGGGATTCACTTGCATGCTTTCACAAAGTTAAAAAAAAAAAATAAATCCTTCACAAGCTCTAATTTCCACTATCTCACCCGTTCAGAGTGCTGCTGTTAGAGACACTACCTATATACAATGGCGAAGCAAAGAGGTAGCTTGCCATATATTTCCTGGAGTCCTGCTTAATACTTTTTCATGCAATATCTCTTGCATTTCTTTCTAAATTGTGCCCACAGGCTCTTCCCAAGCTGCGAGCACCTGGACTCTGATTCTCCAAATCTTTGATTATGCCACGGTTTACTAAACACCCAAGAACTCAAGTTTTCTTCCAGAAGAAATCATGCCCTGGAACTGGGATGGGATGGGGCACACGTTAGTCTTGATCTAAAATGCAGCCAGGATGTGGCCAGGTGCATTTTGGACCTGGGAGCTGGGAAGTGGTCCTGGGCCATCCAGTTTAGATGTAACCACAGGCACCTCTGAAGAGGTTTTTCCTGCTGTAAGCTCCTATGTGCATTTACACCCTGTTATTCTTAGTTATGTCCTTGAGGATCATCTAATGTTTCCTGTTGTTCCTTATAATCCACACGCTTCAAACAACTGTGGGCAGTTGTTTGATTGTCCTCAGACTACCAGCACCTCGTTACTCTCTGCAAGCCAAAGCTAATGCCAGAAGTGAACAAAAAGCACTTTCTCTTCTGAAATGCCTGTGTCCACAATGCCTTCCCCTAATGAGCATCCCCTCTGCACCCACATCCCTCCCCTTTCTCCTCACTCCAAGAAAACATGGCTGGATTAAAAGAAAAAAAAAATATGGCTTCCCCACAAATTATAGGTTTCTGCTGGTGCTCCAACGCTCATGAAGCCTCGGGGTCTTTTTAAAGCAATTGAGATCAGAGGTAGGAACCCAGGGCTTAGGCTTGGCTTTGGGAGCAGATGCTTGCAGCCTCACGCAACTTTCCAACCCTTCCGGCCCAGCACCAGTTTCCCACTGGGATCCCAGCTCAGCTGAGAAACTAGGTCTCTCCTACCCTTACAGGTAAGGTTTCACAGGATAAAGGTTTCACAGGAGAGTACACTTGTCCTTGCAAGAGCTGCTGTGTCTCAGCCATTCATCCTGCCCCTTGTCCCCTCTTCTTTATATTTATATGCACACACTATCTGCTTCAAAACTTCCCGCAACAGGCTTCCTACAGGCCAGCAGTAAGGAGCTACCATGACTTACCCCAGCCAAATAATGTGAATCCCCAGAGATACTTCTTCTCTGAGAAAAATGCCATGAAGATGAGGCTGTGGAGATAGAGCCCTTCCACCAGAATCCAGTAGTAATTGGTTGCCAGGAAGTAGAGGAAGAAGGTAACTGCTACTTTACAGCCCACCTGCAATGACCACAGGAAGACAGGGTTGTGTTAGAAACATGGTGTGAAATTCTTGGTCCACCTAAAGTCTTGATATTTGCCAAGAAGAACTTGGAAAACAAGATGGAGAAGGGGGAAAAAATGAGAAAACTCTGTTGAAGGACTTTTACATAGAGGAAAAATCAGTTCAAGCACAGAAGACGTGCACAATTCAGAGGAAAGCTGTCCCTGGCCTGACGCTGTGTCTCCGACAGCCGGTGACTAGGGAGGTCTAGGAGGACCTTGAATGTGACTCAGTGCTTCCTTGCTCTTCCAGTAAAGGGGTACTGAAGATACCCTTGTTCCACTGTTTCTTATCACAAATAGAAAAGAGAGGTTGCAAAGTGAGAATATCATATGGGGTTAATTCATACAAAAGGATATATAATGCCATCTCCCGTCAATGTAGAATGGACCCTACTAGTGCAAACTCTGGCCAGTCCTGATTTAACAGAAACCTATGACTGCCAAACACATACTACAGTAGCAGCATGTCTTTGCATTGCCCCTTACTTTACAGAAATATAAAATTAACACTGTAGACCTTAAAGCAACCCGTAGAAAATGCCAGTGATATTTATCTTATAAATAAAAAAAAATTATTCTGTCCAGCTTTTATGCTAACCCTTCAGCAATCAAAGTAAATATATGTATACTATACATACTTATTAATATATGCATATATATGTGTATAAATATTATGGACATATACACATGCGCATACACACACACATTTTCTTCTACAGATCAACAAGTGAGACAAAATAGAAGGAAGATCGTTTAAAAATAAGTTCATCCAAGTTTAATGAAAATTTCTATAATCACAAAAAATCTCTGCCTACTCACGCACATGGAGCAGCAGGCAATAATTGCAAAGCTCCCACTTCACTTTGAAACAAAAGAAATGCATTAATTGTCACCTTCACTGCTTGTTTGCCTTTCAACTCAGCAGAACCGGTAATGCTATTTAATTGCTAATATTCAAAGAATGCCATGTATTATCCCAATTATTCCTTATAATAAGTCCAGCCCAAGGAAAAACAGAAAACAATGCAGTAAAACATTTTGAGTTCTTTTAAAAAAGGAGTGTTTTGGAGTGCGCTGAGTGCTCCAACCAAAGACTTGCCAAAGCAATGAAATGGGTCTCTGAAATGGGAGGAAAACATGGTAACAGAGTTGCATTTTGGAGGACTTGGACAGACAGTGAGACATGTTGCACATAACTGACTTTATGCTAAGCTATGACCCCTCTAACTCATAACCTGAAATAAACGTTGGGGATGCCACAAAGCAGAACTTAGCTGTGCAAGAGAGAGGAAAGGTGTCTATGTAGTAGAAGGTGGTCCTAGTTGGCTGTTTCCAAAGTGGGGTCCTAAACTGGTGTAACTCCCTGATTGCTCAGTACTGTGACAACTGTCCATAGAGGATAAGTTATGACAAGTCTACCTTAACACAGCTGTGATTACTGCCACTACAAAAACCAGATAACAGAGGTACCGGAGGCGGTCGTGGTAGGAGGCAAGCTGTGAAAGACACATGAGAATGTGAATAAATACACAGGCATAAAGTTTGTGCTGTGCACTGGGTTGCTACAGGCACATTTGCTACTGTTAGAGCTGGCTCAGATTTTTCCATGCATTGGAGGCAACCTTGATCTTCCAGTCTAAAATTTTCAGGGCAGAGGCATTCCTTCCTCCTCTGTCTGTGCATCGTTCAATAATCCGTGGCTGGTGAGCTATCCTATCTGGGAACCTCCACAGGAACTCTGTAATGAGAACAATGACAAGAGGGGCTGACAGCTTCAGCAAGTTGGGACGGCTTTGAAACCTGAGTCTGGGCTTCATCCCCACAAATACATGGAGAATGCATATGCCTCCATCTGAGCTTTCCATGCAGTGAAGATGAACAGGTACTTCTGGACTCGAGTTCACCTAATCTCACTTCAATTTTTGCTTTAAATGTGGAGAGTCATGCCATTAACTTAATTTGCTATGTTGACTAGATCTCTGCTGGCCACAGGGGGAACCTGAGGTGACTAGACTGAACAGAGATGTCTCCCTTGCAGACTTCTGCTTTTGTTCAGATGAACCCTATCCTTTCTGTTCTTAGTACAAATTCCTGCATTGTCCCCTCTAAAATGACTTTCAGCAAAGATGGGAGAGAGAATGTATAACAGGTGCAATCAACCGTGGATTGCTGCAAAATTGCCGCAAGGCAAGGTGTCTACTGCTAGCCTCCTTCACAAGCTACCTCTGGTCTAGTTCTGGAGTCAGGGCCGAGTGTCTTCCAAGCAATGTTGAGCCAAGGCTTTGCTGTGCCTGCAGTGGCAGTCTGGTGGCACAGATGTTGTAGCACAGTAATGCCTCCCCGGTTTGTACAGAGAGGAGCTCAAGTTGGAAAAACCAACAATTGCACACTGAGATGGGAAAAGCATACCTTGTGAAGCGTAAGCACTGATGTTCCTTGTGCAAGGATAGCCACAGGTGTTTCCAGAGCCACTAGCTTTATGAGGCACCAGGGAAGCTGTTTAAAATGGTAGTTGTAGGTGTGATCCAAAGCCTCAGCCCTGTCTTTACCTTTGACTGCCATAGGGAATGGTTCTTCCTTAGCTCAAGGGCTGCACATTTCCTCTGGGCCAGTAAATTGAGGGGGATTGGGAAGAGCTGGGGAGAAGAAAGGGCCAGAGCACTGGAATCCCTCAACAGGGCAGAAAGTTGCCATGAAAGAGGTAAGGTGATGAACAGGACGGGCAGGACCATGAGGACTGGAGGGACTGGCTGCTCTGGCGATACTCACAAATTGTGACTTATCTGCTGGAGGTGCTTCAGTGATGGACTTCAGGTCTTCCTCTGAGATCCGCTCCATCTCCTCTAAAGCTGACCCGGAGTACAAGACCGCGTCCTTCACGAAGATACTCACAGCTCTCAGCATGAAGGAAACAAAGAGGTGCATGTGGATGTAGTTTCTAGTGCAGTGCAAACGCCTGGCATGGAGGGGACAAAGAAAGATTGAAATAGTTTAGACTGCCAGTCAGACAGATTCAGGGTCACCCCTGCCTCCTATAAGTCCCAGCTCTTCTCAATGATAGTGTCACCATGGGAATGCTAGTGCCACAGCTGCCCTCAGCTCACAGTTCACGCCAAGGTTGGTCAGTGAATTAATGCCTACTCTGGGGGTTTGGTCGAGGCATGGTGCTGCTGACATCGTATTAGGACAACGCTGTGCCATTTAGACTCTCTTATTCCTGTAGTGAGCAGGCATCCAGTGGGCAGTGAGCACAGTGAATTTATGTCTGGAGTATGGTGTGCGTGCTGTGCACATGCATCTGGGGGCTGTGCAGATCTCCTCTGATAGGCGCTTTGTGCCCAGTGTGTACACATTAGGAGTGCAGTGTGCAATCAGTGTGCAGTACGTGTGCAATGAATTTGCATCTGGAGGACAGCGTGTGTGCAGGGCACAGGCAGCCGGAGGCAATGTGGGATGCGTTCGGTATGAAGTGCATGCACAGCGTGGGCACATCTGAAATGCAGGGTGAACGTAGCGGGTGTGCAGCCAGTGTTCAGTGTACGTTCGGGGAACACACATGTGCATACACGGTGAGCCAACACCGCCTGCGCCGTGTGTGCAGGCTGTGCATTCTTGTGTGCAGTGCGTGTACGGTGAGCATCTCCCCAGGGTTCAGCGCGCGTGCGACGAGAGTGTGTCAGGTGTGCAGTGTGCACACAGTGCACGTGAACCCTCTGTGCGATGCATGCACCACAGGCATGTCTGTGGCATGCAGTCAGTACAGGAAGGGAGCATGTGTATGTTCAGGCAGTATGCATTCACTGCACTGTACGTGAGCAACGAGTACTCTTTGAGTAGTGACTGCATGGGGAGCGCAGCCACAATGCTGTGCACCTCCTGTGAGTTGCATTAGTGTGCAGTGCGGCTGCAGGGGCGGCGGGGGGGCTCTGTTCTGCAGCAGGGGTAGGGAGCGTGCACGGAGTGCGCGGGCGCTGTTCGCTCAGGCCGCAAAAGCAGAATATATGCACAACACTCACTGATACTACAGTGAGTATCTATGTGTGTCCCTTTCACTGCTAAATCCATCCCTCCAAGAAATGCATCCCTCTTACAAAGACAAAACCTGCGGTTTAAATGCTGCACGTTTATCCGCTGTTTGTGCAGAGGAATTGGACTACAAAGCCTAAAGAACTGGTGGCCTCTAAAAGACTTGCAGTGTTTCTAGTACAAGAAATTACTTGCCTTTGTACCCACTCCAGATTTCAGCCTGGGGTTTGTAACTGCAGTGCACTGGGCTGTTTTCTCTTTTTCCCATCAGACAATATCCATTGCTTGCTCATGCTGAGCACTTGCTGGCCCCACAAATGATGATTGTAAAGCGCTTTAAGATCCTTTTTGGGGAAAAGCTGGACGGTAAGATGTGAATGGGTTACACCTACGTCTGTGAGGTGTGTTTTAGGAATAGTGATCCTGCTGCCTCTGAAGAGATGAAGGAATTAACTGACCTGCCAGGGTCCCTTTCTGCTCACTTCTTCTTATGGCTCTGTTATCTGGTTAGCCAAGCATGAACCAATTCATGGATTTATACCCTTTTAAATCCCCAGCTCCAATAATGGGAATAAAAATGTAATTGTACCAGAAAATAACATGCTTTTTTCTCCTTTGGGCAAGCTTGTCACAGTAATAGCAGTTGTTTCCTGTTCCATTATAGTACAAATCATGCCAAGTGGAACTGCTGAGGTATAAATTAGGATGGGCTTTGCTCCCTGCATGTGAAATGTAGTCAGCGAATCTCTGGATTGTGTGTTATCTGGAACAAAGTCTGGCCCAGTCTCTGCAGCTACTTTGAGTCCTTGGGGCAAAGATGGGCTAGTGCAGCCACCTGTGTCACCTGGTCTGTACCTGAGGTGCTCTGACTACTTGAAGAAAGAGAGAGCGTGTCTCCTCAAAAAGAGAAAGAACTCTTTTTGAAGCCTTTTTTTTGTGAAGAATAAGTCGGGCACATGGATTTGTACTCGCACATTCTGGACCTTTGCCAGAGTTTCATGGGCATTAAATATTTTAACAACCTTGCCGGTATCCAATGGGATATAAAACCTCTATCAGGGCAAAAGGCTGAAAGAAGAGGAGGGCAATGGCCTCTGAGGGACAGGGCTGGGCTCTGGGACCAGCTCATGCTAACTCTGTCCAGGAGCAAGCTGCAGCCCTGGTTGGCCTGTGCATTTGTCACTGGTCAACACATCCAACTATTTGAGATGCTCTGATATCTAAGATAATCAACCCGGTCTCCTTTTGCTCACTGCAGAGAGGACTGAGTGTTTCTAGCGCCAGTGGCTACACATTTTATTCCCAGTGGTATGTGTCTGGGGCTTAGCCTGCGCTTGCATGGTGGGAGCTGCTGAGCTCATTTGCAGACACCACGTGGCTGCTTGCCGCGTGGAGAATTTATCTCCACAGCTGTTGTCTGGGTCCTGGTGTCTGCTATGAGAAGTTACCGCCAGCAACTGAAGGGCTTACGGCACTGGGCTCTGGAGATTTGGGGTCAGGACCCTGCTCTACCGCTATGGTTTCCCAGCGGACAAACTTCTAGCAGCAAACGATACCTTCTCCTCCCATGGTCGCAGCTGCAACAGGGAGGTGTGCCAGTGAGTTCTGTGGGCTGGAGAGCTCACTTTCATGATGGATAGAAGGAGGTGAGACAAATCTCTGGAGGTGCCTCTCTTTCCATTCTCTATAAATAGGGTCTAGAAAACTCCATTGCAACCACGGGGAAGAAGTTCAAACATCCCCCACCTTCAACACCCAAGGACTTTTACTAAGTGGCACTAACACAGCCCAAAGCACAAACGCCACCCATGGTGGCTTGCTGAAGAAGTACATGCCACCCCAGTTTTATCCTTTAGGAAAGCCCGAGGCTTTGCCGGTCCAGCGATTACTCGCTTAGGTAAAAACAGAGCCGCCTACCTGAAGTATCCCAGGATAAGGACAGCAACTGTGAGGGATCCCAGAGAGATGGAGTATCCAACAGTATAAATCAAATAGAGGCGATCAAAGACCTCCTGCAGTACAAATGATGGAAAAAATAGCGCCACATTAGAACGCATCCTACTATATTGTAACATAACCATGGTAGCAGCATAGAGATTCAGGCTGTCATACCTAATGGGGATGTAAAGCTCTAGGCCCAGGAAACCTTCGGCAATCACATCTAATGTCATCTCTTCAACATAAAAGCAGCTCGGGAAATGGTTTTCCTCTTTCCTAATGACGTAGGGGAGCTGGGACTTTTGCAAGGGAATAGTGACGGAGTTGGGTAAATCCCATACCCCAGAGTTTTGCAGCATCTTTCATCCCAAAGGAACCCAAAGCGCTTTACAAACTCTCAGTCAATCCAGAGATCATTTGGCAGTTTTCGCTCAAGCAAAATACCCACTGACCTGGGATTTTTGCTGTAACTGTAAAATTTGGCAGTTAGGTTATGCCATACCATTGCTGAATGACTGATGTCCAGACTGGGGAGTGCCAACCCACCACAGAAAACATGGGGACAATATATTTTGGCTAAGGCATGTGGAAAGAAATCACCTGTTTTTGGTTTTCTTTTTTAAATTCAAGAGTACCCTGTGACTATGATTATCCAGTTCTCCAATCCAGACACAACTTTAGCTGGCCAATGTCCCAGTGGAGAAGGTCCTGTCACTGGAGGGCTCTTAGTCATTAATCCCACACAAGGTCTTAGTTCTCTTGGCCCGCTACATTTTGAAGGGTTGGGCTCAGAAACTCTGAGATTTCCTTTAAATATTGAGATGCTTTTCTTCATCCCGGAACTGGGGAATGCGGCTTAATTCAGGGTTTACTGAACGTCTACTTGAAAAGGGTTAAAACTTTTGCTGCCATTCCAGCTCGTATGCCTCTCTTCATCTGAACTTAGAAATAAACGCTGTGGAAACCAACCAATTCAGCATCCTTCTCCTTATTCCCTCCTCCCTCCGCCTCCTGCGCTTCCCTCTCCCCACCCGCTGAGTTTCAATAACATGAGTAACGCTGGGCTCTGAATGACAGCTCTGATTTTGATTTGAGGCTAGAAACGCTGTCCTGGAATGCGAAACCTCAGCCCTATTACATCAGAATCCCCAGATATGTGAATGTTTCTTTGCGGTTTCCATTGGTAGAGTGGTGTGCTTGCCAGTATTAATCTTGTGTGTGTGTGGGTATGTGTGTGTATGTGCGTGTGTGTGTATTTTTATACATATATCTGTGCAGGCAGCAGGCACTAAAGAGCCAATGTGAGCAGACTGCAGAGCTTTAGGGGGAAGAAAAAAAAAAAAATCAGTTCGTTCCCTTCAAGGCCTAGTGCGCTTTTCCTACAGCCAAGCTGGGATCCTCTTTGAACTCAAAAACAGTTGCCCCCCTGGCAAAAGTTAAAAAAAAAAAAAACCAACTCCTACTGCAAACTTTGGATTCTTGATAATTTGGCAATTCTGAAGCATCACTACACCAAGCTGAACAAAAGCATTCCTGAGCCCCATTCAGAATTTTAACCGGAAAGATCCATGTTCCTATCGGACAATGACACCACTGTAGCAGCAAAGGTCTTGGGAAGAGCCTGCTGATTGGCTGGCAGGACATTTTAGGAGGTTGTGGTTAATTCCTCTGATTAACCACAGGGCCCCTTTTTGAAAGGATATTGAGTCAGAACTGCCAAGACATACACATACACACATGCATGCATGCACGCTGATGTGCTGGCTTGCAAATGTAGGTGCTACAAAGCCTGCACAGCGTCACAGCAGGAATTTTCAGGGAAGGTGTTTTGGATGGGGTGTAAAGGTCCTTAGGGAAACTCTCAGGAGCGAAAGGATGAGGATCCCAAAATGGTTGCGTGGGGCGGGCCTTGAAAGGGCATCTCACACTCGCTGTTTCCCAGTGGTGTTTGTACTTGGGGATGGTAAGACCTGGAATTACTAAGGGAGAAAAGGTTCAAAGGGCAATTCCAGATCTCATGCATCTCCTAGCCCACGGGAGGTCCCAGCTCCGTGGAAACCACAGTGCTGAATCAGGAAAGGTCCTCCAGGTAACAAAATATTGAGTCATCTGCCAGCTGAAACAACCATCTCCACGGCCTAAGAACCCTCTTTTTGGAGCTGAGCTAGAGGGCAGTTTAACTATTTCACAGAAAACTGCCCAGGTCATGCGTGGCGGAGACATGGACACAACCTGGCCTCTGGAGTCCCAGGACGGTGCGCTACCCACCAGACCATCGTACTACAGAAGAAGCTCCGCCTGATGTTTGCTATGACGCCACCATGAACACACACTGACCATCAGGTTTGGAACAGACAGCCTGCCCTTCAAAAATCTGGCCTTGTCAGACCATAAAACGCTGTTTTAAAAGGAGTGATACTTCAACCAGTGTAATTTAAGCTGATTCCCAGTGTAATTGTTCATTGTTTCAACTGTTGATGTATGTACACTGAAAAGAGAAAAGCTGGAAAAATAAAAGAAAACAAAGAAAAGAAAACCAAAGGGGCAAAAGAAAATCCCAGCATTCTATGACTTTGGGAGCTGGGATTATCAACAAAATAGTGTAAAACTCACAGTGCGATATCAAGACTGGGGAACATCAGTTTTACAGCTGGTATCCTTGAAAGTACCCTCCACCCACTCCATCCCATGCTGTGCTGGGATGAGATAATGATTGCATGCCTTAATGTCATGCCTTGTAAAATATTGCCCATGGTGACCTTTCCTCAGCCTACAAACCCAAATATTCTCCTTCCAGCAAAAGCGCCTCATAAAATTGTGGGTGTAGGAGAAGAGGATAGAGGAGGTCAGGAAGCAATCTTTCCATTTGGGTATAGCAGTCTATCTCACCACCTAGCTGTGGACAGGACCTCAGTAGCTATGCAAACACAGAACATGAAACAGCAGCTCTCCCCAGAGCTCAGTAGTGAACATCTACCTCCACCATGTCTTGCCATCACCAAGGCAGTGACTGCCTCGTAGTGAGCTTTCTGAGGTTGGAGCCTGTCCCAGTCAGCTCAGGTAGGCACAGAAAGTGACCTGACTTGGCATGGCTCCCAGCACCACCTCTGGCAACGTAAAGGCTCGAATAATGCTGGTGTGCACAAACCACCTGTTCTGTTGGGCCCCGCTCATTGATGAGAGCACACTGGGCTCTGCATTGTCCCCAAGGGCAAAGTGTGGGAGGGATCTGAACCCCCGTTCTCCTTCTCCCCACCTCTAACAACCTTGCTGTGCCGCCTGTCTCTGCCTTCTCCCTGGGCAGTGACCAACATGCCCCCTTCGTCTGCCGAGTGGTCCTGGGAGTGAATGCTTTGGAGGCCTTCCCCCTGCTTAACGGAGTCAGTCTTGGTTGCTCCCGGAAGGAGCTGGGTCATACGAGGCTGGTCCAGTGTGGCTGAGCTGACTTGGGCATTAGTGGACCAGCTTCCCTTCAGGTCATGCAACCTCCTTCCTCTAGGTCGTGCCTTTGTTGTGCTCTCAAGCACCACAAAGCATAAAGGCCTTTCCCCCATCCTCTCTGGCCATGCATCACAAAGCTTCACCAAACCACAGCGATCTGTTTCGTCTTGCCAGGTAAGTGGTTTTGTCCTCAGTGAGCCAACCCACCTGATCCTTCTCTCTCCAACTTACTTCATCCATAACTCATAGACTGACAAAAAGACAAACCACAAAACACCTAAGTACTCTGCCACACGTGTTGCGTGCTGTACCTGTAAGAAGATTGCCCTCTCTGCCTCCTTATTCATTTTGTGGGAGGCTGCTTCTCTGCTCCCTTTTGCATCTCAGTTTTCTGCCATCCTGAAGCCTCAAGGCAGAAACTTTACGGCAGCCTGATGGCTTTGGGAGAACAAGAAACCAAAACAGGGCTGGAGATGGCTTCTGCATGAACTCAGAGCGTGCAGGGATGCCACCATCAGCATCTGTGAGATGGATCTGCCCTCCTCCCACAAGGGTCTCTGCATGCCCTACTATCTTATTGCGGACATCTTCCAGGTGTGTGACCCTCACAGCAACTGGCTGTCACATTTTCATATGGCGCTGAGGGCTTAACTTGACTCCTAATTTGTCCACTTCCTCCAATGGGGATGTAATTTGCATTGATCTGAATCCAGAGGCTGACTGCCTTCTTCTGTAGGACAGCTCAGAGCTGGACAGAGCACTGACTGTGAGGTGTTGAGGCCCCATCCAGTGCAGACGCATAGGTATGATTTCACTCTTACATTGCAGCTAGTTGTAGGGAAGTCTATGTGAAGAGTCCTTCTGCTCCCTCAAATTCTGGTGTGGGTGTATCGAGTTTGTCATAGTGGATGTGGTCCTCTAATTCAACATAAACAGTCTATGGCGTGGATGGCTCCATCAGAGCTGGCCACCTGAGGTCCACACAACAGGAAGAAAAGGGCGCTTTAGGTTGCAATGCATCTGACTATTTTAACCACCGAATGGTTCCCTCAGCTAATTCTTGGGTTGTCACTGACTGTGAAGGGGGGCAAGGGTGACTAGTTTAGATAGAGGAGGTCTGTTTCGTACAAGGATTCGAACCCATTCCGATCCCAGGTAAGAGGTCCTGACACTTTCAGGACTCAATTCAGTTGTTCTTGCCTAGGTATCTCATGTCATTTTAGACACTTAAGTGTCCTGTCTGCCTTCCAGATGCTTTATAGAGGGGAATGATTTTCTTGTGGGTCCCGTGTCATATCTGCCAGTCCCGTGTCGATGCCTTGCATGCTCTAGTATATCTCAGTTGACTCTGAGCATAACTATAACCTATATTTAGGTGAGTGGGTGGAGCCTCCAGGGCTTCAGTGTTTGTGTGTCTTAATTTGTGCATTTATCTAAAGGCAGCATGCCTAATTCTGAGCTGGTCTGCTTGGCTGCCTTGATTCCCCTTATTGGAGGGAAATTAGGGTGGGAACATGTGACGAGGCACCTCTGTCTGCAGGACTGGTGAAGAGCTTCATAATCAGTTGTGGCTTGGGAGGTGGCCTCACACCAGAACTGCTTTGATCCCAGTGCCCTCCGTGGTGGCACACCC